ACAGACAGACAGACAGACAGACACAGTCACACACAGTCACACACACAGTCACACACACAGTCACTCACACACACACACACACACACACACACACACACAGCGGGCCTACATGAGTGTGTGTGTTTGTGTGTGTAGTTCCAGAAATAAATCAAGTTATGGGAAATCATGTTTCCGTCCTCACACCTGAACAGGTAAACAGGTCGACTGTCAGTGACTCCACAAAGCACAGATCTGACAGTCGACCACACCCACGGGATGTTAAACAGTTGGTAGAGCTAACAGTGCTAACAGAGCTAACCAGCCAGGAGCAGCTGCTGCTGCAACTCAGAGAGGCTAACTCTCCGGTATGTGTGTGTCTGTGGGGGGGCTGTCAGTGTGGGATCAAGGTAAAGATTGTAGTCGCTTCTTAGTCGCTGTAATTGCTTCTACAGCGTCTAAAGTCCGAACCACTGCTTTGATCTCCATGATCTCACAGGGTCCCACAGGATCCCACAGGGTCCCACAGGATCCCACAGGGTCCTACAGGATCCCACAGGGTGCTACAGGATCCCACAGGGTCCTACAGGATCCCACAGGGTGCTACAGGATCCCACAGGGTCCCACAGACAGCTGCTGGAGCTCGGGGAGCTCTACAGGAGAGAGCCGGAGCTTCTGGAGGAACAAACAGAGTCACACCAGATCCTGATCTGATCCGGAGACGTTTACACTGTTCACCTTATTTCAGCATCATATTGATCCGTTTATTGACAGTAAATCAGTAAAATCTGATTAGTTGGGGTTCACACTGCTGCAGTGAGACAGATTAAAGGGACAAATGTTGCTTCACGTTTGGTGGGACTATAACTCTCTCAGCTATCGAACTACGATCCAACACCTTCGTTTCTATACGTTGCTGCTGAGCATTATGGGAAACAGAGACAGTGAAAATGTCTGTTCTGAGCAGATAAGCCGTGTAACAAAGAGCTGCCTCTGTCCACCAATCAGCTGCTGTCATTAACCAAACACACACCTCCGCCGCCTGTCAGACTGACGGCCGTAAAGGTTTCACCACCTCCAGAGAGAAGCAGGGGCTGATGGGAAGTATCTTAAACACCCTCTGTGGTCTGACGAGAAAGCGGCGCTCGTATGAGTATTTGTTACAACCTTTGAACTCATTATTACTGGATGTTTGTTATTCTGTTTAAACATCAGTGACGTACGGAAGTTTATTGCTGCCACAACAGAAAAAAAGAAACTGATCAGTATCACTTTACAATGTGAAGTTTTTGCTTTAACAAGATGTTTTTCTTTTCTCTCATTCTTCATTTCAAAACTAGAAACAGCAAAGTAAAAATAATTTCTGCAGTAACGAGTTCATCTATCATAAAGTCAATGAAACCTTTCTGCTGTGACCTCTGACCTCCCCACTATTGGCTCCTCATATCGATGATGATTGATTATCTGAAGCTGGTTCGGGATCAGTGTGTTTAACCTGCATTCTCTCTAACAGCCAGCTGGGGGCAGCTCCACTCTGATAGTATTGAGTCTTATGGAGATTAATGAGCTCAGTAAACAGTCTCAGTTTCTAGTTTCAGTCTTCTTCCATACAGCATGATGTTCATTTAGTAAACGATGAAATCGCTCAACTCGCAGAACATGGCGACGACCGTGATGCCGAACTGCAGGTTTCAAAACGAGACTCCACAAACGGCGGAGTGATCAGATATAAAATGTTGGGAAAAAAAAGAGGACGAATGATGCAGCAGTGTGTGTTTGTGTTTGAATTGTACAGACAGTGTCCCTGAAGGCATCACAGTGCTCCTCCCTGTGGAAATCTTTTTTTCCTCTCTGGATGTGACAGTGGAGGACTGAGTGACCTTCAGAGAGCAAACTGAGGACAGACAGAGAGACGCAGGTCCTAATGTCACTTTAAAGAGTCGTCATCACTCCGACAGTTCAAAACAAAAAGCCAAATACCATTGTTCTTCTTCCTGCCTACATCACCCACAATGCAACACATGCAAATGTAGCCTGCAGGTCGCACTTCTTTCTGACTTCAACAGATTTGTTTCATTTTCACCTTCAACCAACGCTGACTCGAGTGACATCACTTCATTAAACTTCACACAGCGCCCTCTGGAGGTCTGTCTGCTTCATTCAGTCTCTCACACACACAGGGGTCAAAGGTCAGGAGCTAATGGATGAAGTTACATTAATAATTCATCAAGACACAAAAATCTTCTCTTATCATTCAGTTTCCAAAATGGCTGCTGCTACAGTCTGGACCAGGATCTGACAACTACAGTAAGAGCGAGAGAGTCATCGGCTCTGCACCACTTCACTCCACCGCTGATGGGAAAGTATTTTGTCCCGTAGCAACGTCCAGGACGTCCCACATGACCTTCATCCTCATACTGGTCCTGATTTGAGCCCATTGTGGACCAGGTCTGCAGTCCAGGAAACTCTCTAACCTTTCATCCTCAGCAGCAGTGGAGTAACTGAGTACTCTGACTCTATGTGAGCTACAAACTCCACTCGTCCTCCTCCTCTAAAAACCAACGTCTCAACGTTACAACCATTGACAGTATTTATGACGGACAGAGCTTCAGGGTCTGTGGTCTATCTAATGTCCTTCACAAACTGATGGGTGTGATGGTTTCACAGTAAAAAACAGAAACAAACAGCGTGAATGTGCTTCTAGTGACTGTGAGAGCGGACAGCGGCAGGAAAATAACTTTACTGATATTCTAATACTGTGAACTGTATGCTCGCCGACTCGCAGTCGGGGCACAAACATAAAAAACAGACATAAAGACAAAAAGTACCAGAAACACAAAAATGTTCTCTGTACAAACTATAAAGAGGAAATCATAACACAACAACAATGCAGCACTTCTTCCACTGCTGCTGTTAACTTCCACTCTGTTACAGTAAAATACCAAAAATAAAAAGTACGAGCCCGAACTCACAGACGTCTTCCACAACGAGGACCCCGATAATACTGATATGAACGA